GGTCAGTGGGAAGAATGCTCCTTACATTGGAGGTCAGTGGGAAGAATGCTCCTTACATTGGGGGTCAGTGGGAAGAATGTTCCTTACATTGGGGGTCAGTGGGAAGAATGCTCCTTACATTGGAGGTCAGGGGGAAGAATGTTCCTTACATTGGAGGTCAGTGGGAAGAATGCTCCTTACATTGGTGGTCAGTGGGAAGAATGCTCCTTACATTGGTGGTCAGTGGGAAGAATTCTATCCAATACCTCTCAGAAAAGAACTCAGCAGACTAAAATTACCTTTTCATTATAAACAGGACTAGACACGGTAATTAGATAAGGACGTTCCTTTACATGAAAAGACGATCACTCACCACAAAAGCACTAAAGGCTAAAACACACACGGTGTGCTCACAGAAGGCGTAACCCTGGTGGTGTTATGGCGGTTTCACAAGGTACTTACCAGAAATGTTGACATAGTACATATGTGTGCAATCTGATTGGTTCAGTCGCTTGATGACCACAATGTAGAAACCTTGGTCTTCCACGGTGAAATTCTTTACAGTTAAGGAACCATCAGGAGAGATGTCAAATTTGTCACCATTTCCGTTATTTTGTATGTCAACAGTTTCATTGAGATATCGTATGGCTGCGATTTCAGTGGCGTCATCTCTGATCCAATAGATTATCGATAGCTCTTCTGTTTCGGCCACTACTGGACGAAGAACCACAAGTCTTCCCTCTGTAGCAGACAGGTTGGTCCTCTCCCCACAGAAAGCTGCAACTTATATAGTAAAAACAAAAATATATATAAAAGGTATGCATACAAAGACGTTCTTTGACACCTGGTCTACATATCTAACTACTGAACTACCCCTAGATCAACTACGTGATATAATGATTATTTTTCAATATTCCAAATGGTTTCCTAATGCCAAGCTCACTAATTCGCTGGGTGCCCTTGATGTCCTTTAACGTAACACACCACGACCACGGCCAAATACTGGACTTAATTCCCCTAAGTGGAATGCAGATACGCATCACAGTCCCCAGACGACTTTTCTCATTAACAACATCTCGATATCTCACCTTCATGACCAAGTGTATTAATGGTTACTTTGGTTACTCTAATTTTTAGCACCAACTGTTGTTTTGTTGCCTATGTTGCTCTTGCCCTCTAGGCGTTGGTGTGTTATTCTATTATGATGTCTTTTATTCTTCCATTTGCTAACACCTGCAAACTGGTCTGAACGGGAACCTTTCCCGCACATGAACAGGTATATCTCTACACCACTAGAGACGGGTTGACTATTTACTTACCTTATTACTCTGTTATTGTTATCTAAGTACTCTGTACTTTATGTCTTGTATAATTGACAATGCATGCACGTTGTACTATGCTTTATTCGAAAATAAATAAATAAAATTTACATGCAAAAAAAAAAAAAGGTATGCAAAGTCTTATAGTTTCTTTTTTTTTTAGAAATCAGCCACAGCCTGGGTACAAAAGCCTGCACCCTGCCAGCATGCTGCAGAGAAGGACCCTCGCTTTCTATGTGGAAGCAGCGACCTCTCATCAGAGGTCCAGCACGCCCTCTTCTGGGTCATACATATAAGGTTCCAATCAGCAAAGCCCATGCTCCCTGCAGATTGGAGGGCTCTAACTCTGACTAAGCAAGAGGTGTGTCAGATCTCTGCAGAGAGACCACTTCTGTCTGCAAAACCCAGGCAGATTTGGTCTGGCTGGCATCCCGCACTGCTCACTGACATCACTGGTTGCCAGGAGCTTAGCTGGATGCTGTGGCTGGTGGGCATCCCACCCAGCTCTTGGCAACCAGTGACATTATTGAGCTGGGTGGGACGCTGGACAATGCACCACCAGCATGCCCAACGTAGAGCGCCAGCAGACCCCCCCCCCCCCCCCGGCACAGGCCCC